AGTTAGTACTTTCGATTTTCTATCCCTTTATGACATGTAACACAATAATAATGGGAAATGCAGGTAGAACAAATATAACTTGAATGGTGTGTCGTTTATTTCGGACTGTCGTTTGTTTGTTTCGTCAAAAGATTCACGCAATAGTAACAAGAGGCGGTGCAGTCCAAAAATTAGGTCGCGATTTTACCAGCATGTCGGATATATCCGGCGTTCGTCCCCAGAGGGCGATCATGTGGATGTCGGATATATCCGGCGTTCGGCTCCGCGAGTGTTCATATGGATGACGGATATATCCGTCGTTCGGAGCGAAAGGGTTAAGAGATTGTATCGTTCGACAAATCGTTGTAAACAATTCGTTGTCGTAATGGCGCCGTAAAATGAGTCCCCGCGGGTAAATATAAAATTCGTGTTTCGCATTCGTTTTTTGCCGGCTGCCAAGTTTCTTACACCCATCAATCTGGAAGGGTTGGCGGCATTTTTGTTTCTCGGTTTGTTCGTTTGTTTGCAGAACGTCACGCAAAACCACGCCGGAAGGTATTCCATGAAATTTGGCACGTGCATAAAGAAGTTGACGAGTAAAATGCCCGGCAACGTTGCATTACGAAACTTCGAGGAAGTGGTGGTCGGTTCGTGAAGCATATCATTGAAAAATCTCGGTTACTGGTTTACGAGCAAAATACATATGCGGCCGAATACGTGTATCGTATACATACATACATACATACATACATACATATATATATACAGGGTGTACCAGGTTTTAATGTTCAAACTTTGTCAGTGTATTCTATGGCACAAAGTAAGAAAAAAATGTTATGTAAACATAGATCATATAGAGCTTTATTAAGAAGTTATAACAAAAATTCAGAATAGGAATAGTAATCAACTTGCTGTTACTGCGAGCATTGGCTTGAATAGATCAGCGCATGCCGTGTGTTTATGTAAGCTGTGTTTATTAATACATTTCGAAATGCCTACCGTTGTTGACAATACATGATTGACATCGATCGAAGATATTTTTTATTTTTTATTTTTTTTTTTAGTTGATTACTATTCCTATTCTGAATTTTTGTTATAACTTCTTAATAAAGCTCTATACGACCTATGTTTACATAACATTTTTTTCTTACTTTGTGCCATAGGATATACTGACAAAGTTTGAACATTAAAACCTGGGACACCCTGTATATATATATGCGCATACAGGCGAATGGGAATCGTTGCGAATTTAATCTAGAAACAATATCGGTGCCGTGTCTAAGCAATTTTCAGAGGATGAGTGGCTAATGTGATACAGGAGCAGCATAATTAGCGAACCATGCCTCGATTAATCGCATTAATCTCGGTTAATGAACCACTGAAACCAATGAGTCTATTATCAATATAACTGAAATAATAGCGATAAAACGTTTCCGCAGTTGCGTTCGCAAAGAGCAAGATCATCTTCACTTTCAAAGCACCATAAACGAAACGAAACGTCTATAAATTTGACAAATTGGCTACGTTCGAACTCCCTGTAAAGAAAATCTTACAATAATTTACGAAATATCGTTTTCAAAGACTCTCCAAAGACTCTCGAAATCTCTCCTGTAATACCGTTTTGCCATAACAACTTTCATTAACCACAAAATAGAGTTGCTTCTTCCTCTCGTAACGTTATGAATTTCGAGCAATTCTATAATATTCCACCAATTTTTTCTCATACTCGTTCCGATGTGATCCTCTAAAGAAAAGTCTCGACTTTACAACGACTCCTCGAAAATTGACTTACGATTTTCTGCCGCGGTTCCGCTGCACTTCGATTGAAAAATATGCCGCCGAGATCGATGAAATGGCGAAAATATCGTGCTCGCAAACTTCCGGGACAAATTTCGCCGGAACCGTGGCGAAACAAAAGCGAAGCGGACCGCCGTTATCAGAGACGTTCCTCTGATTAAAAGCTGCCCCGAATTCGCGGTAATTAGGCCAGTAATCGGCGTTATTTGATACGTATCAATCACTTTCTGTCTCAGACGTCCGTATCCACGGGAGGGCGAGCAGCGGCGGGTACAACGACGTGGAAAACAATGTAGCGACGAAAGGACGGAAAAGTATCGACAGCCAAGTACGACCACGAAGAATCGACAACACGGCGCAATCGATGTCATCCAGGGGCAGCGGCACGAATTTTCTCGCGCAATCTAGAGCGGCCGTCTGCATAATCCTACTATCCGCGCTGTCGTAGTCGCGTCAACGCGCAAAAAAGAATGGTTATTCGAGGAAAATCCTTCGGGGATCAAGATTCGTCCTGTTCATCGTCATTTATCTCATCCGCGAAAGGGATCAATTAATGGATGCGCGTCGATAGAATAAATTTATCGACGGCCATCGCCGTCGCAGCCGCTTTCACCGAAATCAACGACACACACGCGGAACACAGTAACGTGCACAGATACACGCGCAGAGGCAGACACACATATATACGCACACACGCCGATTTTTCCTTGCAAATGTTGCGACAATACACCAATCGTTCCGCATCGAATGTGCTTCGCATGAATCGCCTCCAATTATTTTTCAGGCGCAGCTTCCGAATCTTTCCGTAAATTAAGCTAATGAGGAGAATCTGATTTCAAAGGCAGTTCTTTTTAATGAAACTTGAGTCTAAATTTGACACTGGAACAATCGAAGTTCTTCTTACACAGCCACTTGCTGGATACTTTTAATTTGTCCAGTCGTGTTTTATAATAGTAATCGTGCGATTTATCGATAAACACAATTTTGCTACTTTTAACCGTTTGCAGTCGAACGACCCATCTCTACGGACGTAACGAGACTGCTGTTAATTGTGATGCTTCGAAGATTAAACATTTCTGTTTCGTATGATCCGTATCGATGCAATCTTTTGTATGAAAGTCTACTTAAATGGAATAATTGTTTTCGACGTTGCGCGATTTTGTAGATATTTTATTTGTAGTTAGTTGCTACTTACACGCATGTACACGTTCAATACGATAAATACGTTCGCGTCGTTGGCACTCGAAACAATTCTACGAGTGAGTAGTATTAACACGTTCCCTGCCGCGTGGGGCGTATACGCCCCACGCTGAACTTTCCGTTCAAGCCATTTGGTATTATCATTGTAAAATGATGAATTTTTTAAAAATTCATTATGCAGTCAATTATGGACATCTTAATACTATTGCTGATGCCCTCATTTAATCGTGGGGCGTATACGCCCCACGCGGCGTGATGGGCAATTTTTCTTTACTGTAACTTGTTTTAACTGCATTTCTCTTATTCCGATCAGTCATTTATTCGCGTGTCGTTGACACAATACTTACTGCTTCACTGAAGCTGGGATTGATTTATAGTTCTATAGTACTGTAAAAGTTGTAACATTCTGCGATAGTTGTGTGGATAAACCACACTTATGTTTGCCATGTTTTAACAAAGTTCATCGTAACATCCCTTTGTAATCGCATACAAACTTGAATTTAACTAAAATGTTATATTTTAAACTAATATAGGCATGATAAAAAAAATTATATGTGAGGATGCAACTCGCTTGGCATAATAATGATCAGCCAGGTATTTGTTAAAGTAATTCCTAGAAAAATAAATTTATTGGTTTGCTGTGTTATGCATGTTAAACTATACAACCTTTCCTTGATAATTATGATTTGTGTACTATTTTAATTATTGTAAAGCATACGCCAGAAACAAAATAATACAAATGTAAAGCGTGGGGCGCATACGCCCCACGCGGCTTGAACGGAAAGTCTTCAAAAAACGGTCTGGCAGGGAACGTGTTAAAATGCAATGGTCGATTCTAGCGTCGAGTATGAAAGAATTGGAAGAAGTGATTATACGCGATCGCCTTTGGACATGCGAAACAAGAATTTCCACGACACGGATAAGTTATAATTACAATTACGATGAAATTATATATTTCAGACGGTTGCGGGAACGCAGAGCCAGTTCCTTGCTCCTCGGACACCGAAACGCCGGTGCGCAACAGCGAAAAGACAAAAGAATCGTCAAAGGGGAAATATAATTAACGTCGGTTTCCAAACGGAATTACTTAAAAGAATTTTGAACTAATTATATCATGAGATTCGGTATCGTTCAGTGCTGTAGCTTGACGGCAGTTCCCTTTATCTGTTTCGCTCGATATTATCGATTTCTCTCCTTTCTTTCTTTGTTGGTCAAGTGAAAAGCTCTGAAATCATACGCGTCGTTAGCCAAATGAGATCCTTTCATTTCCGTCGGTTCTACAAACGGAAATGATAGAACTCTTTAACGGTGCACTTTTGTTCGATTGTTTCATCGAACGTTTCTTACTTGTAATTATCAAAGATAAAGATCGCTTTTCGTCCCATGCTTCATTCCCCGACGGTAATGTCGTTTGTTTAAAATAACGAGTCGGAGGGACTTCTTTTACGCGAGATAATTCCAGTTCGATTCTCTGTACAGTAAATTCTCCCTAATCGACGCTCAGATTGTACAAAAAAAATGGACAATTTCGGAAGAGAAGATACGATTATTCGAGCCTTGCACCTTATTTTTATAATTGTTGACCATTGGTAACTATAAAAACGAGCCGCAAGGCTCGGATAATCGTATCCCCTCTTCCAAAATTATCTATCTTCGTTTCCAATCTTGAAATTACCATAATTACTACCGATAGGCGAAATCCGAGTGCAAAGAATTCGCAGATAATTCAGTTTAGAATAACTTTCGTTTCAAACTTGCTCGAGCTTATCTTTCGTTTTCTTCCTTGTAGGATACATTCGCTATACAGTAAATCGAATTGTCCCTCAACTTGTAAACAAAAGTGGAGAATTTGGGAAGTGGAGACACGTTCATTCGAGCGCCTCGCTTTCATAGTTGTCGATTGTCAACAACTATAAAAACGAGCGAAATATGTCAAGATCAAGATTCAAAAATTGTCCATTTTTGCGCACAATTTGAACATTAATTACGGAGAATTTATTGTACAGCGAATCGAACTAGAATTTATTGGAATTTACTGGAATTTATCGAGCATCAATTAGGGAGAATTTACTGTACTTGCAGTTTATTGTCTTCGTCGCATCTTGATACTAAAGACTTTTACATGCCAGAAACAATTTTGAATTCTGAAAGAAACTTAGATTTATTTTCTTGAGATTTTTCTCAGATTTATACTTAAATTTACTATTTTACAGGTGACATCTCTTTCCTTTTTGAACGCGCAAACACCGAATCGATGCACGGTGCAGAATGGAACGATTGGTTTAACCCTAGAAAGATAACCATATGACAACGTACGTAAAAGATAACCATACGCTTCAGAGGCGCATGCTTTTCTAAGGCGTCAATTTTATACTAACAATGGATATTTATTTAAGTTAATCTAGTCATTTTAAAGGTTTGGCATTATTGTAAAAATAAAATGCATTTATATTATATTTTTTTATATTTTAAGTAATTTTAAACTTAAATCACTAGACCTCTATGAAAAATTAACAAAAATCAACAGTCTTCGCAGGCGCCTCTGCGACGTAGGTTATCTTTCTCGGGTTAAGGCAGCAGTAGGTGATTGCACGTGTGAAAATGAGTCGCAAACGTAATCGATCAACGCGTACTTGAAGAACCGTATAGAACAGTTTGTAACATTGCACGTTAATTCAATCGTTTGCTGTAAAAATTATAACTTAATTCACTATCTCATACTTTTCTTTCCATTCACAGTTTGACGGTTCACAATAAATACAAAACGAGAAGAAGCATGTAAACTAAACATTTCTCTGTACGGTTAAATTGCAAAACGATAAAGACATACGCACATGCAACTACTAATAAATAACATGTTTACCGACTATATTAAAATGCAATAATGATTCTAGTTTGGCACATAGCCGCAGAAAGTTCGTACACCGATCGATACGGCGCGCACACATCGTTTCTTTGCACTCCGTTGTATATTTATCGTTCACACTACTAGTCCAATCAGTTACTACGTATTCGGCCTAATTAAAACTAGTATAATACTACATACAGGATGTCCCATAATTATGTTAACACCCTAAAGGGGACGATTCCTGAGATTATTCGAAGTAACTTTTTCCTTAGCGAAAATGTAATCCGTGGCTTTGTTTACGAGTTATTAACGATAAACACTGACCAATGAGAAGCGAGCACGGCTGGCGGTAAGCGGTCGAGCGGTCGAATCCTAGCTCAACTGGCGGGAGGCGGCCGAGCCTACGGCGCCAGCGGTCGAATCTCAGCTCAACTGGCGGGAGGCGGCCGAGCCTACGGCGCCAGCGGTCGAATCTCAGCTCAACTGGCGGGAGGCGGCCGAGCCTACGGCGCCAGCGGTCGAATCTCAGCTCAACTGGCGGGAGGCGGCCGAGCCTACGGCGCCAGCGGTCGAATCTCAGCTCAACTGGCGGGAGGCGGCCGAGCCTACGGCGCCAGCGGTCGAGCGATCGAATCCCAGTTCCGCTCATTGGCTCAGCCGCCTCGCACCAGCCGAGCTAGGATTCGACCGCTCGACCGCTGGCGCCGTTGACTCGGCCGCTTACCGCCAGCTGTGCTCGCTTCTCATTGGCCACTGTATTTCGTTAATAACTCGTAAACGAAGCCGCGGATTGCATTTTCGCTAAGGAAAAAGATACTCCAAATGACCTCAGGAATCCCCCCTTTCCAAGCGTTAACGTAATCACGGGACACCCTGTATATGCGACCGCATATACCACAGAATATACAATTACATACTCTGTAGTACTTCGTAGGCTATGAAGAAAATACACTCATCGTTTCCCGTATTTCTGTGCGTAGACGCGCAACAAGTGTGTAAACGAAGGTTTTCTGTAATGTATAGCGTGCGTGAATGCGTGAGCAAATAGTGTACGCGTGTCGAAATTGTTTGGAATTTCGTCAGGAACCGAACGGAGAGAAACTTGCGACCGATTGTATGTAGAATAGCGTATCTCTCTCAGATCGAGGATCTGAATATATTTGTAAATACCACGGAACTACGATAACTCAAAAGTATTACAACATGTCTGACCTAATTAAGTTAATACGAGTTTGTACATAGCGCTGACTTGCGGTTGTGCATGAAATAAAAACGATTATATTTGGACGTTTCGTATCGCATTTGCTGTACATACACCGTATATGTAAATACGCGGTCGAAAACCTTTCAATTAAGGAGAAAACGTTCTTTCAGCTTTCTTCCCCCTTCTCGGTTTCTCGGTTTAGTAGAGGGAACGCCACCGAATAATTACCGACAGCATTTATTCTACGCAACCTAATCCACTGAACAGCATCAGTTCTGTACGATCGTCGATGCGGTGTAACTCCATTTTATACGGTCCCGATTTCTGCCTGGCATAATTTCAGCTGCTCATCGTTTTCTCTCGATGTAAATGTATCATAAATAATTCTGTAAAATATCCGCATTTGTAAATTTCATTTAGGATGTTTTAACGTGATTGGGTTGCCCGACGATTTTTTGATTCGCCACAGGGACCGATTAATTGGTGGTCGATGCACTCAAATTGTAAATAACAGCCGCTAAAGTACATTCATTCGAATTCGGTATTGTAAAATGTTTCAATCGTTTAAGGTTATCGTCAACGATAAATGAAAAAATTGATTTATACGACGTTATGTTTGCCCAATTACCGATATCCGTATAAATGAAAAATATTAATTATTCATATGCAAAGCAGGTTCAGTTTAAATAGTTTATTCGGTTTATATATAAACCGGTTTATATATATATAACGAGGGTTGTATATATATATATATATATATATACAACCCTCGTTATATATATATAAACCGGTTTATATATATATAACGAGGGTTGTATATATATATATATATATATATACAACCCTCGTTATATATATATAAACCGGTTTATATATATATAACGAGGGTTGTATATATATATATATATATATATACAACCCTCGTTATATATATATAAACCGGTTTATATATATATAACGAGGGTTGTATATATATATATATATATATATACAACCCTCGTTAAATCGATTTC